TTCTGTTTCTCAAACTGTAAACCAAAACAGACATTAGTAACTGAGGCTGAGGCAGTATTTGATATTGTGGAATTGATGTATTCTTGGAATAAGCCAAGAAAATATCACAAAATGAGTGAGAGTTAGAGTATCATCTTCAATAAGCAAGGCTGGGCATCTAAGCAGGTTTCCTTGTTTTTTTTAAAAAATAGTGTTTTTGGATCAGTAAACAGGTTTCAGACTTGAAGCAAAAATTAGAAATAAAAATATAGTTTTTGATAACTCGGCTAATAGTCTTTTACTTAATTCCATTAACCTTTTTTTAATTTTTGAAGGAAAAAATCACATCCAATTATGGCAGGAGTAGGTAATATACTAATATGTTACCTACTCCTATCTCTATCTGGCTTACTGCAGCTTTTCCAATATTAGCTCATCCCAATAAAGTCATAATTCTCTTTTAGTGGAGGATCAGGGATCTAGATCTCCAAACTGATTGAACTAGAGATTCCCATCTCCATTTATTTATTTGTATCCTGCTTTATTATTTTTACAAATAACTCAAGGTGGTGAATATATCCAACACATCTTCTTCATCCTATTTTTCCCTCAACAACAACCCTCTGAGGTGAGTTGGGCTGAGAGAGCGATTGGTCTAAAGTCACCCAGCTGGCCGGAGCTAACTGGTAAAAACAGTATTTTGGTATCAAATCTGTTTTTTAAAAATAGAAGGGGTTGTGTCAAATCATAAATCATTGTCAGTCAATCCAGTGTCTGTTGCATGAAATCCAAAAGTCTTGGCAAATAATACACTTATTTGTGAAGAAATCACAAGTCTGTGCTGTGTTGCTAAGCTCATAGCGTGTAGAGTACAATAGTAGAATATTTTAGATATTTTTAAAGGAATGTTTAAATTACATGTTTATACCCAGGAATTAAGGTAAACAGATTGCTTTATAGCAGTGGTCCCTATCCCTTTTGGCACCAGGGACCATTTTCTTGGAAGGCAATTATTCCACAGGCCTGTGTGTGTGTGTGTGTGTGTGTGTGTGTGTGGTTTCATGCGCTACCTAGATCCCATGCATGCACAGATGACATTTCACTCGCATGCTCGGCCCAATTTGTAACAGGCCACAGACTGGTACTGGTCCACAGACCGGGGTTTGGGGACCCCTGCTTTATAGTATTGTTGCCAACTGCTTTGTGATTGTATAAATAGGAAGCATGTTACAAATATCTATTTATTAAAATAAAGATGCTTACAGCACTATGTGTCTCAAATTCTGAGGGTAGAAGGTCCTATAGATCTGTCAGTGGAACTCACCTATAAAATTACAACATAGATACATAAATATTATAGCACTGATTTTTCTGAATCTTTACCAAACCGCTGAACTGAAATATTTTAGTTATTTGGGCAGACTTGCCTCTTGATTTAGATGTGTAGCTACTGGAAGGAGAAGTCTTCCTGATGGTTGTGGTGATATGTCTGCCTGTGTGTATGCGCACATGCATGGATGCACATGTACAGGCCTTACAGTTAGTTACACTCCTGATAATTGTCTGGACAAATCCCTGCAGTTTTCTTGGCAACACTTTTAGAATAAATTTGCCACTGCCTCCTTCCTAGGGCTGAGAGAAAATGGCTGTCCCAAAGTTACCCAGTTGGTTTTGTGCCTAAGGGGGAACTAGAACTCATAAGTCTTTCCATTTCTATCCTTGTGCCTTAACTACTACACCAAACGGGTTTTCCTCTTAGTGGTAGCACCCCAAAAAACCTGAAACTCCAGCCTTAGTGATTTCTGATGCCATGTAACATCTGTCCTTTGTCTTTTAATGTGATCAGATACTGTGTAGCCTTTCCCAGCTAATGATGGTATGTTCTGTTGCTGTTGATCTCTTGCTGATTTGATGTTGTTTGTTGGGATGTTCAGATTCTAAGGACTGTAGTGATTTTTTAATTGTTTATTTACACTGCAATCTCTTTTGAACCGACATTATTATTATGGTTCATTGGACAGTCAGCCAGATGTTCAGACTGGATTTGGCATTTTTGTCCCACTATCAAGACATTCCCAAGGACCTGGGCTAGGCAGAAGTGGGTATGTTGAAGGTATCGTCACAGGATGTAAGCTGTTCCAGGTAAAGCTGCCTTTTGCAATTGACTGATGGTGATTTTGCAATGCCTGTGGTGTTTAAGTGGTGCTCCACTTGTTTTGGGATTGTGCCCAAGGTTCCTATTACAGTACTGTTGGTATTGTCTTTGCTTTCTTCTCCCACAGTTGTTCTACTTCTAATTGCAGGTTTCTGTATTTTGTTACTTTGTCTAGTTCTTTCCCTTCTATTCTGCTGTCTCCAGGTACTGCCCCAATTTACATTATTAACCTCATTATTAGCAGCAGAATTCTGTTTGACATCTCAAGTCTTAAAATCACTTATACTATCAGAGGCTGCGGTGTCCCTATGCGTTAACATGCAATCGATCACACATATTAATGCGCCAGTATAAAACTTTGAACGCAGGGATGAAAAATCAGTGAGATGCATGCAACTTCCAAACCTCATTTGCTCCACTCCCTTCTCAGTTGTTCTCATTCTGGAAAGCTTGATATACCTTTCCACATTTATAAAACCCAACCACAAAATGAGATTGGAAAAAACCCTCTACCCCCTTTGATTACATCATATCACTGCAATTCTCCTATAACTTTACCACTGGGATAAAATTGATCTAAAAATTATGTCTCCTGGCCACAAAAAAAGTTTCACATCTTGCTTTTATATACACAGAAAACCGTATTCCGTGTTCACCAGGTAACTTTTATGTTCCTTTATTTTGAAATGGCATGCTAATATTAAATAGCAAATATAGTTTGTATATCGTTAGAATGAGATGTTATCCTCTCACCTTGTGCTCTTGTTAATATATTCGCTCCATTTTTACTGCAGCACTCTGGGAAGCAGCCAAGATTTTGTTAACCATTATCGGAGACCAATAGACAGTGAGAAATAAAAGCCTGCAGCAGCAAATTCCAAACTTCAGAATGTATTCTTTGTATCAAATTCACACAAAAGGGGGGATTACACAACCCGAGTATCAAAAATATTTCAGTTTTCATTTCATACGGGCTGTTATATAATTGATCCCATTCTTGCAGCTGTGTTTATTATATTAAATAATAGCTTTTATTATAGAACTCAAAACTGCAATGTTGTATTATTCTAGTTGAGAATAAACCCTGCTGCACTCAGTGGTAATTACTTTTGAGTAGAAAGTGAGTATATGAAGGAATTACAGTCTTGGATCTTTCTGTGGCATTTATACAAATAATATAGCAGAGGGTTAATGATTAGACAATCAGACAGTGGCTTGGCTTTGGATTAATTGGTGTATATCCTGTGAGACATGTGTTTTTGAGGTTTTTTTTTTTAAAAAAAGGATTAGTTTGAGAAAAAACAAAAATAAAGAGGGGGGGGGGAATTTCTATGCCAGGGAAGGTGCTTTTACTTCTTGAATTCCCATAAAATATAATCAGTTTACAGAACATTGCCTAAAGTTCTGATACCTAACTACATTTTTAACAAATTAAAACAAGACTGTGGTTCTGACAATTGGAACAATAACTCATGCAGAGTTGAAATGGAAAATATTTTTAAAGGTGAGCAAAAATATTGTTAGCTAATCCTTTTACCCAACAGAATCTGTTGGAAGATGGACAGGGCACTACCTCATTCAGGGATGCAACAGGCAACCATTTCAGATTAGTCTTTTCTATTCTGAAGCAAATTTCAGGAATGCTGAGAACTAGCACTGGGAATTAACTGCACCTACTGATGTACAGTAATCCTGGTTGCACAGCAAAATAAATAACATAGTCTGTCAAAAGAAAATAATAATGACTTAAATTTGTTTGTAACTCTGTAATTATTCAGAACTCATTTTCCAAAAAGGCTGAGAAATAAAAACACTCAGCAACGACTTGATCATTACAGTAAACAAAACTAGGACTTTGACCGTCTCCTGTCTTTCCAATATTGCTAATACCACGTTACAGTACTATATTTCCGCAAAGCAAAACACTCCCGTCGATACGTGGGCTGGATGCAGATTTAGGTAAAAGGTTCCTCCAGGTTCTTGATCGGATAAACAGCACAAATAATTGCTAGGAAATAAATGAACTCAGATTCTCGCATTCACATTCATTATGGAAGATGGAGTAAACCATGCTTGCAAATAGCACATCGACCAAAAAAAGAGGAGAAAGGAGCATTAGGTATGCTCGCCGAGTTGAATTATTCATAAAAACAACACAGGCGCGATATAAATAACTAAGTAGTGAAATGAGACCCTGGAAGAACATTCAAAGGGTGCCAAAAGGCTTCCCTTCTTAGGGTGTCGTTTCTCTTCTAGGATTACACACCGTTGCCCAAAGCTAGTGGGACCGAAGAGGAGATTTATGGATGAGAACGGACGCTGAACAGAAGCAAAGCAGAACCGCGCCCCAAGACACCCTCAAACTTAAAACTGAAATTAAATATATACAGTACGGTATGGATGGCGGTGAAGAGGTGGGCGAGGCGTAAATACCTCCGGCGGCAGCCAGAGGGCGCCGCTACTCAACGCGCTTTCGGTCTCCCGGAAAGCGGCGGGACCCGCGGCAACCACGGCACATGCTCGGGATGTTCAGGCATGCGCCGATTGCGAGACGTTGGGCTCGGCGGCGGCGGCGCTGCACTTTCTCTTGGGAGGGGTTTAAGCCAGGCGATCAGCGCCGGAGGCTCTTCCCGGCAGCGCGCCTCCTCCGCTGCTGCCGCTGCCGCCTCCGCTCCTTCCCCTTGCCCTAGCCAGCCACCTGCCCCTATTGTCCCCAAGCCATGTGATCGGGGAGGGTGACCGAGCACTGTTATTTTGCTTAGTCATCGCTCCTCGCCCTCCGGGGAGGCGACTCGAGTGCGGTAATATACTTCTCCGCCTTTCCGACCGGGCACAGCAGCGGCTCCTCCTCGCCGAAAGAGAGAGAGAGAGAGAGAGGCGCGATATCCGGGCGCCGGCAATGGGCACCGAGAGCGGCCGGGCGGCCGCCCTGCTGAGACAAGCGCGCACCCTCAACCTGCAAACCGGCAACCTGCTCAACTGGGGCCGCTTGCGGAAGAAATGCCCGGCCACCCCCAGCGAGGAGGTGAGCGTCAAGAAGAGATGAGTGTGTGTGTGTGTGTGTGTGTGTGTGTGTGTGGAGGGGGGGATAGACGGCGATTAAGGGGTCGTCCCGCGATGCCTTTGCCGACGAGACGATGGACGGAGGTGGCCGCCGCTTGTCCGGAATGGCATTTGCCTCGTATTTTGATTTTCCCGAGCCTGGGGTGAGTGCGGATGGATCTTCTCCGGCAAAGCCAAACCTCGGGTTGCGACCGACTTTACTGCCTATAATAAAAGGTGGTTTGGAGTCCCAGAATGTAATTTAATGTCCATGGAGATCCTGAGTCATGCAGGTCATGGTGCTTTTTTTTCAAGAGGCAGCTGTATGTAGGTTTGCTTCTCTCACTGAGGAGCGAGCTAACTCAAGTCTCTTAAGCAGTGTTTCTCAACCTTGACAATTTTAAGGCATGTGGACTTCAACTCCCAGAATTCCACAGCCAGCAATGCTGGCTGTGGAATTCTGGGAGTTGAAGTCCACATGCCTTAAAATTGTCAAGGTTGAGAAACACTGCTTTAAGCCTGATCTAGCAAGCCATCCATGTAAAACGCTTTGCCTTGCAATACAGTATTTTTGTCTGGGCCTTCCCTACCAAAAAGTTAAAATGGAAAGAACTCTGGACTTTTAACTATGACACAGAAAAGTCTTGTAGGGACAAGTGAGGTAGAGTTCAAAAGTAAGGAGCAGCTGCAAAATGGCTGGAAAGCCTAAAACGCTAAAAAGCTTGGGATATGAATTATTTTTTAAAAAAATCAAAATTCATCCTTCAAGAGATGAATAAAATATACTGTATACGTTATAATATTTATATTTATGTTGACTTGGTTGTGTAATAGATGTATAGAATTTTTCCAAAGGCCGGTCTGACTGCAGTAACTGTCAAAATAATTGACTTTGAGTAGAGTGAACTAAAACTCTTATGGCATCATAAAGATTAACATTTATTATGGCATAAGTATTTAAAGAACAGAGTCCAGGTTCATAAAGTGTTGCACTAATTACAGGACTATATATGAACATAGATACGAGTGTTTGTGGACAGAAATCACGATCACAAAAAAAATAGCAATAGTAGGAATGTAGTAGTAGTAATAAACTTCTTAACAGTTCTCTTCTTTTGCATATTTGTACAGCTGATTGCATGGGGTGTGATTGGAAATAGTTTATCCCTGTTCAGGTCTCAAGAGATAGAACTGAACCTCTTGTTAAAACATAGTGGAGTATTCCACATTGCAGCCTCCACTTTGAAGCTCTTTTGCTCCAGCATGGCATCCTTAATCTTAAATGTTTTCAAAAATTTGAGATTGAAAATAAATTATTTAAATTTTGGTCTACTATTTTTAGAAGAAATACAGAGGCTTGACTTTTGGCACTGCTGCAGGATACCTGGGTGTTGGGATTTTTATGATTCAGGCTTCTATAGTAAGACTAAACCACAAAAGCCACACCTGGGCAGGAAGAATTGTAGCATACGGATGGTAGTCGCTATAGGATGGACAGCTTCAGAAGTGCAACTAGCCCATTATTTGCGGTGGGTTGTAAATTGTTGCTGTATGAGGAAACATATAAATTATTCTAATTGAGGATTGTAGTGCCATTCAGTTATTTCCTCTTTTTTGTTTGTCCTGTCGTAAGATATACTATACATAGTACTGTGCGTATGTGTGTAGTATTATATTCACATGCACACATATACAACATACTATACCATCTACAAATGATGTGTAGAGTGGATTTTTTTTAAACTTTAAGAAATGCATGTTACAACCTGATGAATATTAATTGTGGTAATCTCAGTGTTTGATTGAGTTTGTGATATGTTCTGGAAACAAATCAGTATAAGTGGCAGGTTTTTATTGTTAGGTGGTGCTTTTGTACAGTGGCAAAATAAGAGTCCACAAAGTCAACATGTTCCATAACTATGAGGTAAAAGTTCTAGTAAAACTTGGGCAGTGCTTCCTGCTCATGGGACAAGACTACAAAGGTGCCTTTAAAGTATTTCTGGTAAAGGGAAACATCTTCAGGAAGAGAAGGCAAAAGAGTAAGTATTTTCATCCAACCATGGAAATAGTGGCATGTTATGGAACCTGCAAGGGCCAAATTGTTGATTTTGGAATTTTATATTTTATAAAATTTGAACAGTTGAAAGTTTGATCAGCAGTTATAATGAAAGTGAAAAAGTCTGCCTTAATCTGGGGCTATATAAACATTGCCAAAGATAACTTCTAGTACCAAACCCCATTGACTGCTGAGAGTTATGTTCCAATAATATTTGGGAAAATACAGTTCCCCTCTTTTCTTTTAAGACCCAGGTTAGATTGTTATACTGAAAATAACACCTGCAGAGATAAACTTTTATATTTTATTTTTCATTTCTAGCTTAATATAAAATGTGAGCAGCTTGAACTGTGTAATAGTTTTGTTGCAGCATGTATCAGCCAAATATCTTTGCCTCACCCTGGTTGTAATTGCATAATGGAATCCTGATATAATTAAAGCAGGAAATCTCATTCTAGCCTCAGGTCATATGTGGAAGTATGACCTACTGTGAGATGCTAACATTTGAGACACTTTGGTGTTTTTTTTTAAATTACCTAAATATGGCATGTTACAGTTAAGAACAAAAGCTGCAAACAAAATTGGATCAAAGTTACTTGATCAAGTAATTTTAGCCTATTCTTCTTTGTAGAATAGCAAGAACTCAGGGGTGTTAGAAGAGTTCCTTGCATGAATTTCCTGCCTCAAGTCCTTTCACAACATTGCTATAGGATTAAGCTTAGGACTGTGATTTGGCCATTTCAGAACATTGACTTTCTTCTGCTTTAACTAATCTTTGGTTTTATGACTTGTGGGTTTTGGGTCACTATCTTGCTACATGATCCAGTTTCTCCTGAGCTTCAGAAAGATACCCTGACATTTTTCTGTAGAATTTGCTAGTACAATTCAGAATTCATAGTTCTGTTAGTGATAGCAAGGCATCCTGGTCCAGAGGCAGCAAACCATGACATTGCCATTGCCACATTTCAAAGATTGGATGAGGTTCTTATGCTGGAATGTAATGTTTACCTTTTGATAGACCTTAACACTTTACCTTCAAGCCAAAAAGTTCTATCTTGACCTTATCTGTTCACAGAACATTTTTCCAGTGGTCTTTTGCCAACTGTGGACAGGGAGCAGTGTTCTTTTTGGAAGGTAGTAGCTTTCTCCATTCAACTCTGGCATACAAACCATTGTTGTTCTTTGGTCGTGTAATGGCGGTGTCATGAACACTGACATTAGCTAATGCAAATGAGGCCTTTCATTTCTTAGACAACACCTTGTGTTCTTTGAGACATGCCAGAGTATTACACACTTCTAATCTTGACCTGCAATGTGCAGTCTTTGGATAGGTTTCTTTTTTGGGTGTGTTCTTTCAGTTCGTGCAAGCTAGTAATCAATGCTAAATACTTTGTCCAACTCTTGAAAAGCTGAGTGTAATCCTGGAATTGTTTTAACATGTTGAAGCTTCTCAATAGATGGCTGTATGAACAGGAGATTCTCCAAAATTCTGTACTTTTAAAATCACCAGTCGAAGCTGGCAGTATTTTTCCACAACTAGGAGAACTATCCATGAGCACATTGAATTCTATGGATATTAATGCACATTACTATTTAGAGACTTTGTAAGGCAGTGCAGAACTGCTAGACTGGAGCCACATTGTAAAGTAGTCAGCTGTATGAGATTGATAGATAAATAAACATAAATACCATTAGAGTCAGTTAAAGCAAGAGTGGTCAGATGAGATATAACTCAGAAGTGTAGAGGTGTTATTTAATTATTATTTATAATCTAGTGGAATCTTGGCCCGAAACAACAAAGAGTCACTTTGGAGGGATGGGTGGTATAGAAATGTGATGAATAAATAAAATAATAGCCCCGAACCAGCTGTGACTTGTAAGTACTGTTTGTTTGTTTCCAGCTAAAGGAATCTACAGAGCCCCAAGTGCTGTCAATAAATAATAGACAAATGTGCTGTTTAAAACCATCTTATTGTCAATTTACCAATTTGAAGCTTAGAATTTTTATTTATTTATCTATCAAATTAGATAACTACTTATCTCGCCAGAGGGAGCAATCTGGGCAGCAATCAAGAGCTAATAGGAACAATAAATAAAAACAAAAAAAATTGCAATATAAAAAAACCTTATCAAAAAGTGAAAATAACAACCCACAGGAGAGGGATGATAAAATGGCCACCTCAACAGTACAGCCATCTGAGTAGGTCCTTGGATATCTATGAGCCCCAGGCCTGACAACATAGTCAAGACTTGAGCGCTTTGGGGAATACTATAAGGGAGCTAGTCTCATTTTGGAGGGAAGAAAGTCCCATAGGGCGGGGCACCACAGCAGAGAAGGCAGGTCTTCTGGGACCCATCAAATAAAGGCCCTGGCCAATGGTACCTAGATCATAGCTTCTCTGCCAGATCAAGTGGGGCAGGCTGGTGTAACCAGGGAACCCCATTGCATGCCATGAAGGGTTTTAAAAGTTAAAATCAGCACCTTGAATTGGACTCAGAAACAAACTGGCAACCAGTGCAGCTCGCATTGGATATATTTATAGCACCTGTGAACTGTTCTTTTACAACAAATCATTAGTAGCAAGATAAGGTGACAGGTCTTTCCCTCTTTTAAAAAGAGATTCATTTTGGCCTGTGTCAGCTGAGAAGAGAACAGATTTATCTATAATAAATAAACTTCACCTTGTCTTCAGATACTCAGCAGTTTGGGAGGGGGGAGAGTTAGTTTGGTGGGATATAACAAGGTAAACAAACCATGGCTAATGAGGTTAAGGTATTTCTTATATTTTTAAGCAGGAATGCATACTTAATGGTTGAGACAGACATTGTGGTTAACCATGATTTACGGGGGGGGGGTTGTTTCAAACTTGGCCCTTTTATGACTTGTGGACTTCAACTCCCAGAATTCCTCAGCCAGCATGCCTGGCTGAGGAATTCTGGGAGTTGAAGTCCACAAGTCATAAAAGGGCCAAGTTTGAAGACCCCTGATTTACACAATGAAGCTTCTGCTTCTACAGTTTCTCCAGTGTGACAGTGAGGAAGTGATCAAATAATTTCAGTTCCCCAGTTGTTTGCCTTTTGATAATTTGGGTGTTTTTATCTTCTGTGTACCAAAACTCCTGAACTTGATGGAGACTTTAGAAATGTAAGAAGAGTGGTAATGGATCAGGCTGACGGGCAGTTTAGTCTAGTATTCTGTGACACCCATAACTAACCAGATGTGTTCAGGAAGTTCACAAGGAAGGGCTTAACGTTGATAATATTTCTTGGGGATGAAAATGGAAGAGGGTTATAGAAAGCAGTATGTTATCTTTGATTCAGAACATAGTTCCCCAAATGGACAGCTTATTTGCTTCCTTTACTAGTCTTCAGTCAGATTCAGCCTCTTGTAATTTCATAGGTGTATTCATGCCATTTTCTTGGCAACAGTACCTAAGTGGATTGCCATTACCTTTCTCAAGAGTAGATACCTTTGGTAAACCCAGAGCCCTGGTATTCCCAAGTGATTCCCCATCAAGTACTACCGTAAGCAGGTACCATACCTGTTTTATGATTAGTCATTTTGCTAAGTACTGCCCCCATTTGGCATTAAAAAGAGTACATACACTTCATTAATAAAGCCTATGAATAACAGTTTAGAAGTGTACCATCTACTGTTTGTTCTCATGTTTGTTGTGCTTTGTAAGCTATGACATCCATAACTGATATACTTATATATAGGGGCAGAAGGAATAGATCAGTGGTGGCGAACCTATGGCACGGGTGCCACAGGTGGCACGCAGAGCCCTCTCTGTGGGCACGCACGCCATCGCCCCAGTCCTTTAGCTGGGTTTTATAAAACCTTTTCGCTTTAGGCCTCCGCTGCCATGTGCAAAAAAAAAAAAGGGTTCAATCAATCAGTCAATTTCAACTTCTCGCGGGGAAAAAAAAGATCTTGCAAAGTTGGAATTGATTGATTGAACTTTTTAGTCCCACCCAGTCTGCCGTTACCACCGCAGCCACACCCACCCAATGGGCCACACCCACCCAATGGGCCATGCCCAGCCAATGGGCCACACCCAGCCAATGGGCCACACCCACCGGCACCCGATGATGCATAAGTGGGTTTTGGGTTGCAGTTTGGGCACTCGGTCTCTAAAAGGTTCGCCATTACTGGAATAGATGAATACTGGAAAGTTGTTTTTACACTGTTTTTTGTTTAATTTACTTCTTATGTTGAATAACAGAAACCAAATGTTAATACCGGAATGTTCTTTTCAGCTGCGGGATTGCATTCAGAAAACCTTAAATGAATGGAATTCAAAAATCAGCTCTGATCTGATGAAAGTAAGCAATCTTTTCATATTTCTTTAATCATTCATTACCATCAGTCTTCATTATAAGCATTAACCAGCACGAAGCAAATTACAAAGCAAATAAAGATCTTTAGGCCAGACAGGTAAGATTAAATTAAATAAAAGAGTAACTGAAAAGAATATTAGGGACGGAAAATGTTAAGACTAGCAAGTCACAATAATATAAAAATGAAACCTAAAAATTAATATAAGAGCCACTAAATAAAACAGTAAAATCATCTGAAAAAGATTTAGGAATTGTTGACCTAGAAATAAGCTTCCTACAAACTTAGCAGAAAGATTGTTACTAATAACATAAGAACAAAATAAATTACAAAAAATCATTATTTAAATAAATAATATTTCACTCACTGGGAATAGGATAATTTGCTTTTTAAAAAAAACTCTGCTTGTGGTGTAACATAAATCAGTTTTGAATTGTTATCAGTTCTAATCAATTGAGATGTACATGATAAAATGTAAAGAGAAAGAACCTCATTAAGAATCATGCATGAAAGTAGGTCTGTCTTTACCTATCAGCAGTGTGCACCCCGAAATAAAAGTAAAACAAGAAATATCAGGTATATGCTGATCAGGTTGTTTCAAAATTGTTTCAGTATGCTCTTTGCATCTATCTTCGAATCATTGAAGATACAATAAGAACATCAAGCCTGTGTGGAGCAGGGACTGGCAGTGTTTCATATTTATAACACTATTGTGCAGTCTGGATTTTTTTTTCCTTGTATCTAAACAAGCCAAAGGTTAAATCAATAGATTCTGGCAGTTTTATAAATAATACTAAAGAAGCTAAAAAAATATCAAAATCTGATGAGGTTTGATAACTTTGGAAAATTACAATTTTAGTTAATGGGGAGGTTATAGATTATTTGCAGTATCCATATGTGCAGGTTAGATTCTTTAGTTCCTGTGGGCTCTGTTTGCCAGACTGTTGGTATCCCACTCCATCCTCATTTTAAAAAAAAGCTAACTTGTGAAATGGATTTTAGGGATGTTCAAGTTCTCTTTGTGTTTGTTAAAAAAAATACGCAGCAACACAGATCTGTAAAAAGTACTTTGAAGCTGAATTATTAGAAAGGGAGATTGCTGCCCATTTACAGTACTGTAAGCCTGTCTTTGGAATTGAGAATGAATATACGACCTGTAAATGATATGCAGATCACTGCCTTGCTCTTCCTGACTAATAACGCCAGTTTCACGTAAGAGCATGAACAAATTGGAGGTTATCCCCTTTGGAGCAGGGGGATAATCTCATGGACTTCAACTCCCAGAATTCCTGAGTCAGCTATGCTGGCTCAGGAATTCTGGGAGTTGAAGTCCATGAGTCATAAAAGAGCCGAGGTTGCCTACCCCTGCCTTAGACCAAGGGGAGTCATAACTTTTATCTCGATAACCACTTTGTTTTTTAAAAACTGAACATATAGAGAGAACATTTATTTTAAAGTGTCATTATGCATTTTGCAGCTGACAGTGTATTGGAAATGCTTAGCTGCCCCCAAGAAGAAAGCTGCTCGTGATTATTTATTTCAAGATACAAATTATATTTAAATATTTATTTCAGGAAATTCCTGACATTATTGACTGTACTCTCCCACAAGCCGTAGAAAAGATTAATTCTGAAGAAAGAGAAGAATTGAAAGTTTCAGGTAAAAATCAGTTTTGTGCTTTAGGTTGCAAAACTATGAATAATCTTTACTTCCTTTACTTATTAGCTTTGCTTGTAAGCTCCTTGGTTACAGAGCATCGAAAAGTGAGATTGAAATGGAGGTTCATTTGGTGAATGGGAATTCTATTTAATATTCTTCTTCTTGTGCCATATCTGTTATCGGATGTTGGCGATCATGTTGGCGATCCTGTTTTTATCAGCAGCCGCACGAAAAAGTGCTGCTGAGTTTTGTCCAAACCAATCTCTTAGATTTTGAAGCCATGATCTTCTTCTTCTGCCTGGACCTCGTTTGCCTTCAATCTTTCCCTGGAGGATTAAATGGAGTATGCCGTATTTTCTGGGTGTCGCATCACATGTCCAAAATATTCTAATTTTCGTTTTTGAATTGTTTTGATGATTTCCCTTGGCTTTCCCAGGTGGCTTATCACCTCCTCATTTCTGATCTTGTCAACCCAGCTTATACGTAACAGCCGCCTGTAAATCCACATTTCAATATATTTCAATATATTTCTATTTAATATAGTTATGTCTAATAAAACCAGTTGCATTTCTGTACAACATTAAATCAAATCTTAGGGTTGTAAAATGATCCTGTGCAAGTCATCACAACTGAAAATTATTCAGCCATCTAGAGTCCCTTTGTGAAGGAGATGGGCAATTTCAAAATTTGATAAAATAAATGATTTTGATAGGTCCTATTAATAGGCTGAAAATAATATAAAAAGTGGGGGGAAAATAACAGACAATATGCAAGGGAAACTAAAATCGGGAATAGATGTAGAATGGAGGACTTCCAGATGAAAACAATATATGGAAAAAGGATCTTGGAATCATAATGAATCAAAAGCTAAATACTTGAAACAACAGTCAAAAAGACAAATGCAATTCTAGATATGGCAAAAGAAATATAATTTTCAGACTGCGAGAAGTAGTAGTTCTGAGCCACACACTTTAAGAAGAAGAAGAAGAAACTGGAACAGGTACAAAGAATGTTAGAAAAAATAACTAATGGTAAGTGCAATTTGACAGCGGAACCAAATATCTTTGGAGGTGGTTGGATTCAAATTTTTTCCCTACCATTCGCCAAAGGTGCTTTTTTGTTTTACAAAAATTGTGACGTGCCACTGAAAAATATCCCTCAATATATCCTGAGCTTTTATGTTTAGCCAGAAAAGCATGATCTTGCATTTTGCCTGCCTTCCTTGTTAAACGATCGCCTTTTCATTTTCAGCAAAGCTCTTTGTCACGAGATCAAACTCCTCATCAATCAGAGAAGCAGTCAATATGAGTAAGTTCAAAATATAAATTTGAGTGACTGCCCAGTTATATTTTGTACATTTAAAAAAAACCCGACACTTTTGTAACTAAAACAGCTGTCAGATTTATCTCAAGGGTTTTTTTGTTTTTGTTTTAAAAGACTTTCATGTCCTTTCATCTTTGTCCTTGAACTACAGCTGGCAAAGAACAAAGATTGTCCTTTTGTTCTGGAGAAATAAATGCAAGCTTGTATCACTAAAGGAAACAGACTTTGTAAACTCGAGTGCTCTTGCAAAGAAGTCTCCTATGCCCCTTGACAATAATTAGGCATTTATTTTTCTTACAGCATGCTGAAAATTATTTTGGGCTACTGAGGAAAAAAAAGCATGGATGTAGAAAGGGGAAAAGTATATAAAGGATAAGGAAGGTACTGGGTGACATGTTAACTTTTCAGTTAACTTTTACAGTAACTTTTTATTTTACAGCTGAATTTCAAAGCCTATTTATGAACTCTAGGGGTTTTTTTTCCTACCTTTCAGTATATTTCTCTCCTCTTTTCATAGATACTTCATTGTAAGTTAAAATGATTTTGCTGATCTTTACAGTTCTAAAGATCTATAGATTCACAGGCCTGCTCTATGTCGACATCTGCAATCTAAAACACTTTTACCATGTATTTTATGACACACTTGTTACAACTGTCAAAATGTTGTACCTGTATGAATGCTGAAGGAATGTGCAAATATTGATTTGTGAGTGAATTATACTTGAGCTCCAGATCATTTTGCTTGCCTTCCAGACCATACTGAACTCTCAATCAGAGGACAATATGAATGGAACATTCTAGAATTTTATAGACTGATCCATTCCTGAATTATTAATTCTGTTAGATACTTGTATCTTTTGAATTTGTTTTATGTCTCTCATCTTTTTTAAGCAAATTTCATTATATGTTGTTTTAATTTATAGCTATTTTGATGTTTTACATTTTCTAGATGCATTGCATAGAATGTGCTATAAAATAAATATACTGACTAAATGAATTACAGATAAGTTGTTTCTGCTTTTTAAAAGTCTGTATAAAATTCTTCCTTGTCTACTTTTTTTTTGTTTTGCTTATTTTTAGCATGTTCAGCTCTTGGTGTGGAACAGTTAGATTCTGTGATCATTTCTCCCCCTCCAATGGAAGACGGAATTAATTTTTCTTTAGAATATTTACAACCTTACTGGGCAGAGCTTGAAAACCTAGTCCAGAACAAAATGATTGTTGCCATAGGGACTTCTGATCTAGATAAAACATTGCTAGAACAGCTCTTCAGGTGGGCACAGGTAAGAAAGAAGTTGCTCATTATGAATTCAATTCCATTAAGACACAAACTTTATTACACACTGAATGTTTCATTTGTTTTAGGTGAAACCAAGTAGTAACCAAGTGAATCTTGCTTCTTGCTGCGTAATGCCACCAGATCTGACTTTATTTGCAAAAGAATTTGATATTCAGCTGTTAACTCATAATGACCCAAAAGGTAATGTCCCCTTAAGAATCTCAGGATTGCCTTGTTGGAATAAATAAGAACAATTCTATTAATGAGCCTGAAGACTTTCTAAAGCTGTTCTGACTGTGGGTTGGTGGGATGAAAACGACCCCCGGAAAACGTTTGAAAAACTCTGTTTCCATTACATTGGGAGGAATAGTGGCAAAATGTCAATACATTAGATGAAACGTAATATATTATATGAGATGGTATCTATTATGCATAGTGTAGAAGTGGATTTTAGTATTGAAAAGCTCCAGCAATACCTCCCCTGATCTGGTTATTTTGAGTTACAGAATTTCAATATCAGAAGTCTCAGATGAAGCTGTAGCATCTTGAAAATATCAGCTCTGTCATCAAAAATTCTGCCCCAGTTTGGGGGTGGGGGAAATGATATTAATTTTAAACACTTAAAAAATATAAATAGCCCTTGACAATAGACCCCAACGTTTCTGTTGCTAAGTGAAACAGTTGTTAAGTGAGCTTTGTCCCATTTTATGATCTTTCTTGCCAACGTTGTTAAGTAAATCGCTGCAGTTGTTGAATTGGTAACATGGTTATTAAACGAATCTGGCCTCCCCATTAACTTTGCTTGGCAAAAGATCACAACAGGTGATCACATAACCATCATTGATATAAGCAAATTGCCAAGCACCTGAAGTTTAATTTTGTGATCGTAGGGATGCTTCAGTGTTTGTAAGTGTGAAAGTCACTTTGAACGGTCACCAAACAAAAGGTTGTAAGTCAGGGACTACCTGTAATAGGCTACCTCAGTGATGGCAAACCTTTTAGAGACCAAGTGCCCAAAAACTGGCCCCGCTCCTGCTCCGCCCCCACCCTGCCTGCCTGCAGGGCCACTCATCGCCTCCAGAGCCCGCTCATCACCCAGCAGCACCATGGCAGCCACGCCCTCTGCCCATGCTCCTCAGCATCAACTGTGCGCAATGGGGCGTGAGGGCAGAATCTTGTCTACGCTGCCTGGCTGCCATGTCCTTGACTGAACTGCTCTGCGTGGGCCACACTCAGGGGCAATCCTTCTCCAGGAGGGCTGCTGGTGAGGAGGGTGTCATGGGGCCTAGGCAAGGCTGGGGCAACGGCACGTGTACCACAGAGAGGGCTCCAAGTGCCGCCTCTGGCACCCGTGCCATAGGTTCGCCACCACTGGGCTACCTAATGTTTTATGAAGTGTGTTTGAGGGATATACATTTGTTTTACTGAGTAATACTGGTAGCGCATATATTAAAATACTGTTCTTATGATCTGTTCAACTTTTAGAATTGCTTTGTGAAACAGATTTCCGAGAAGCTCTTCAGGAAAGCCTCCCAGATTGCCAGGGGCACGAATGGATTCCCCTCTGGCTTCTGCGGTATTCAGTCATTGTTAAAAGCAGAGGAATTATCAAATCCAAGGGCTACATCTTGCAAGCTAAACGGATCCCATCTTCTTAAGACTGATCTTGACAACTAGCTACTTTGGAGAGACCCTTTCTCTACTACATATTGAACCTACCTAGTAGTTTTTTTAATTGGCAGGTTATCATAAAACCCAGATTACATAGTGGGATGGTACTCTTGAGTCCGTTCTTTCAATTTCATTTACTTTCACATACTATATGGTGATCTGTGTTGAGAACAATTGGCTCACATGTACAATATTGTGTTTCATTAAAATTTACTAATTTAGAGATATTATATGTAATCTTTGGAATATTTTAATGATTAAATTTAAAATCTAGCTAGCTATATTTTGATTGAAATATTTTTATTTGTAAGGCATAACTGACTTGGTACACTTTATGGCTGCTGAGCTGATAAGAGGACTAAATAAACCACATTTTGGTGGAATAAGCAGATGATTTCACCAGTGGTAAAAAAATATGTAAAATATTTAATAGAGTCATGAATTTATATTCAGTTCACTATGCCTCAAACATCTTACCAGAATTTGACTAGCCATGCACAATTTTTTATTATGTTTGTTGTATTTTTCTCTTGGCATATGTTCAGGATTTTTTTTTTTAACTCAGAATTATATGGCTCCAGTGAAGAGTAGAATTAACTTTTTAAAAATTTGTTTTGCTGAAGTTAAAACATACTTACATTTTGAAAGGCATAAAAAGCTGTATATATAAATTTCAGCATTGCACTGAGTGTAGCTTCTCAGACATTTTTAGGAATTCTTAAAAATAACCTGAGGTGCAGTTAAGTTACTTTGAAGTTTATGGGTTCTTCAAAAGAAATTGATTCAATGCTCTTAAGCACTTAATTTAATTTAAAAATGCTGCAGTTAAATAATAATTTAGATTAAAGAGGTTTGCTTATTGAGACTTCAGTAATTCAACAATGTACATTTTGCCATTTTAATGTGTATTTCTCTGTTATTAATGCACATATGAAACTTATGTAAGAGATGCAAACTTTACCTGGATTTTAAGTTTTTAATTTATAAATGAAAATAATGTTATAGGTAGCTTTACTAAATGTTTTATAATGTTCTTCATACCATATTCACGTACTTGGATACATTCCAATAGGGAAACCTCTTATACTTTATATTAAAATAATTTTGCATAAGATGGTCTAGCAGGTGGTGGTGTTTGGATTCCATACTATATTAAGCATGAAAAAACATTCTTAATTCAAATTTCAGCTTTTACCTGGAATTATATTCTATTGAGCTCATTGGGGTGTTAGTGATAATACAGTGAGGCCACATGTCAGGTTAGTTGGGAGGAGTCCTTAAAAATTGAATACATCAACTTAAATAAAATTTATTTGACAACATTCTGGAGTAAATTTTGATGTGCTACTTTAAATAAATATACAGATTAAAATAGTTATTGAATATATAAAATAAGTATTGTTTTTGTAAAATTTGGGTTGGAATATAAAGTGCATTGAACTGTAGAAAGCAGCTGTTTTCTGTAGTTTGTCAGATTTTAAATTTCTGTAGTGAATGAATGTTTTAGTTTGCAGTTATGGATTAAAAGAAATCTTGATCCCAAAAAATGCAGATAACTGTTTGAATCTTAATAAATTTGGGGGGAAAGTTGGGGAGATTTTTTTATCTAGTTCTCCACTAGTCTTCCATAAGTTCTGCTATTAAAAATTTCACATAAAATATAGTTTATTATAACTATCTTTCTAATCTGTTTTAAAGTATGCATTTTGTTACCTCAAGAGAATGCAATCCACTATAATAGTGAAAGCAGAACATGTTCCTGGCAGGAATGAGGAAAGAAGGGATCTTTTTCCAGGCAGAACCTTTAGAGTTAAGTCTCATGGAATAGGTAAAATTACTGCATATTGTTTAATTTAAAATTAAGTTTGTGATGGCTACCAAGTTTCCATTTTACATTGAGGACATTGCTGGTAGTTTCTAAATCTCCTTTGTAAAGATTTTTCCAGCAGTGCAAAAAGAATTTCTTTTTGAAGTAATATTTTCCTTTAAACATCTATTAACATTATTCTGAAAAGTAAATATTAGTAAAAACTCTAGAATCATTTTTTGATACAAGAGCTAGGATTATTATTTCAGAACTAAGGGAAGTATATATGTAGAGATATGCACCTGCAGGGGAATAAAAATCCAAATTTGTGAGTTTTTTTCAAAATTGCATTTAATCTTTTTTAACCAAGCAAATACCTTAAAACAGTGCTTCGTAAACCCTAAGTTAAGTTACCCAAAATCAAGTACAAGTGGTTTTTCTTTAGGTAATGACACACAAACACCTTACACAATCACAACAGGGACATTTAATTGACTTGTTTTATCTACATCGAGTAAAACTTTCTGATAAGCGATTTGGATAACGAAGGAAAAGGCTTGGGAAGCGCTGCCTTGAAACAATCATCTAAATGTGTTTGCTTTCCATATTCAGATTTAGGTAAAATTATTATTTAGGTAAAATTATTATTTACACAAAGCGATGGCCACCTCTGTTGCCATTTTATCTGAAAGGTTTGCCTGGGATTCCAGGAGTATTCCCAAACCTATTTCCCTCTCAATGAATTTGGATTCATCATCCAGAACGAGCAACAATTGAAGGCGAGGAGAATTGTAGTCCAGATTATTGCTGCTAGCCCTGGATTGAGACGAGGGTACTCCTAAATAACCCGAAACGAAGGTTAAGAATTGTATACAGCTTCCTCGCATTCTTTTAATTGCTAATAACCCCTAACTGCAGTCCGCTCATCCCCAGCTATGGTGACTGAGACTAAGGCGGACTTTGCACTGGAGACTTCCACTTTTTTCTCTCATCCCCATTTCCGCCTTTGTGAACAGTTTTCATCCACCAATTCAGTGTTTCTCAACCTTGACCATTTTAAGGCGTGTGGACTTCAACTCCCAGAATTCCACAGCCAGCAATGCTGGCTGTGGAATTCTGGGAATTGAAGTCCACACGCCTTAAAATTGCCAAGGTTGAGAAACACTGCACCAATTGCTTGCAGCCGTCCCTGCCAAGATACTGGGCGGAGGCAAAGGCAGGAAGTTCTCGGACGGACCTCTTTCGGAGTCGCAATGCCACCTGGAAGCGAACCAGAACAATCGTTTCCTGCTGCACACGCGGGAAAGATGATGGCCACCGGGCGGGTAACGCGGCGGAGCGTGTCGAAGGCGGAATGCCCGGCTGCAGAGGTGAGAGGGGGGGGGGAAAAAGAGGCGCGGAGGCGGCTTCCCCCCACCCCACGCAAGCCCATCTCCGTCGAGTTCCGCACGCGCACGCGCACGGAACTTGGAACGTTCTCGCCGTTCGGGGAGCGCGCGCCGCGTCTTCTTCGCCGCGTTTGGGTCGCGCTGTGTTAGAGCCGGACTGGAGCTGAAGGCGTCGAGCCCGGGAGGCTTTTGTGCCTTTGGGGCGCTCGGGGGGGGGGGGGGGGGGAGACCAGGGTGTGTCTGTTGCGTGTTTGGTGCATTGACAGGGGACGCAAGGCTGAGAGTGTCTCACTCTGAACATTTAGGTCTGCTGAGGAAACAGGAGGGCAGGGGCAGCTTCCGAATGCGGCGCGTCGGTTTGTGACGGTGCATTTTTGTTAGAAACTCATTTCTGGTTTGGGCAAAAAGGTGGGGCGGTTTTCTGGCCTGGTGGAAATCTAGAGGTCTTAATCCTAAAGAATAAGTAAGTGCCTTTCCTCCTTTTGGAATATAACCGTGGTGGAACTGTGATCTTGTTGTGGACGAAATAGTGATTGATTGATTGATTGATTGATAGATAGATAGATAGATAGATAGATAGATAGATAGATAGATAGATAGATAGATAGATAGATAGATAGATAGATAGATAGATAAATTAGATAGATTAGATAGATTAGATAGATAGATAGATTAGATAGATTAGATAGATGATAGATAGATTAGATAAATTAGATAGATAGATAGATAGATAGATAGATGATAGGTAGGTAGGTAGATAGATAGATAGATAGATAGATGATAGATAGATAGATAAATTAGATAAATTAGATAGATTAGATAGATAGATAGATAGATAGATAGATAGATAGATAGATAGATAGATTAGATAGATGATAGATAGATTAGATAAATTAGATAGATAGATAGATAGATGATAGATAGATAGATAGATAAATTAGATAAATTAGATAGATTAGATAGATAGATAGATAGATAGATAGATAGATTAGATAGATGATAGATAGATTAGATAAATTAGATAGATAGATAGATAGATAGATAGATAGATAGATGATAGGTAGGTAGGTAGGTAGATAGACAGACAGACAGACAGACAGACAGACAGACAGACAGACAGACAGACAGACAGACAGATAGATAGATAGATAGATAGATAGATAGATAGATAGATAGATAGATAGATGAGAGAGAGAGAGAGAGAGAGAGATAACATTTATTTCTAATTTGAATTTTGGCCAGAAATCATCCTGTCAACTCTGAGAATAGTTGTTTCTACTGGAATTTTAAAGCACACTGAAAGAAATGCAGAATAATATTCTTCGGTCGATTTAACAATGTTTATATAATAACATTTTACCAATGAAGGGATTTTATTGTGCTTATGATTTTAGTATGTTTAAGTTTGACATTAGCATTTATTTTATATATAGTAACCATTTTATATTGATACTTATAGTGTTATCATGTAATCATTGTTTTGTTATTTTGTAATCATTATTTTGTAGTTAATTGCTTGATCAGATGCTTTATATATATATATATTGGAAAAGTAAGGGCTTCATGCTTTAGGTATAGGTGATTGCTTATATGAAAAGAGCACAGTAAGGGGAGGGGGGAAAGGAGTTACAGATGGAGCCTGGGTTGCTGTGTATGAGTCATCATCTAGGAATTATTTTTAACACGGTAGAATACGGATCATGGTTCTGGACTAGAAAAACAAGACCTTTCCAATAAAAGGTGGAAGACATCTTTTCTGGTTGTTGCCTTCATCTCTCTACCAGCCACGAAGAGAGATGGGGTCACCCAACTCTATTTTGATCAAAATAAAAGTTGTTTGCTTGCTGAAACCTCGACTCAGGAGTTTCTTTGGCTCTTTGCTGGGGCAGTTGTGAGGCTAAGTGGATAACCTTACACCAAGAAGCCTGAAAAGGTTTTCCTTTCTTCCTTTCTGTCTGCCTTTCTCCCCTTAGACACAAAATCTGTGTGTAGCTTTGTCATATTTTTCTCTATTTTTAATTAACTTATTTTGTTGTGTTTTTTTTTAAAGAGGACTGATTGATCATCTGCTTTCTCTCCTTCTCGTTTTATTTACAGGTTCTCTTTCTTAGAAATCACACTGGTAAAATTCAGAAGGCACAGGGCTTCTGCAGTGTTATTCTATCATACTGCACGTGTTCAGCAGTACAACAGCTATCTGCCTCACGTCTCACCTATCTGTGCTTCTGTGATGAATCAGTTTATCAAAGCCGATAGCAGACATGGTTATTTATCCATTCATTTCAGTACTAGGTAGAGAGACTGATCATTGGGCAATGTTCTCATTGGAAAAATTGGATTAGTAAAAGTCCCCTTCTTAAAGGTTTTTTTTTTTTGAGGGGGGAGGACAGTTGGCTTGGGATATAACATTAAGTAACATATTTCTTCTTTTATCTTTCCTTAGTTTTTCTTCCTCTGCAAACACGAGTTACGATTTTCTTAGCCAATAACTTTTTCTTCAGTACAACGTTTTGATTTAACAATCTGCTGCAAGTATTAGAGGAGTATTCTCTCTATCCTGTTTTGGCAAGAAATGCAAAATAGCAAATGAAATGCTTAGGTTACGTTCGGAAAAATTGAGTAACAAACCAAATTTACTTTTCCTTGTCTGGCAACTCCTGCTGGACCGTGCCCCATAAGCTATGCTGGGCACAGGGCATCTCTCATTATAGCTATGAAGCAGGAAAAAGTAGTTATTAGTGAAAAGGTGTTAACCTTGACTTTTCGGTCCAGCAGTATAAAATCTACAATGCAAGTATGTCAGAAACTAGTACTGTTCATAATAAACATGGTTTTTTATAAAGAAGCTGACACATAGAAAACATTGCGATGGCAGCATAACTTTGTTCCATAACTACAATAGTTAATAGTTCAGAATTTCTGAGTTTCTCATGGAGCATGGATTTATTTATGTATTTCTTTTCTTTTTGCTTGTTACCTGACATTCTTTTCATTCTTATAGCAGTCTGCAATGGAAGACAGCCCTTCTGTGAGGGTAACTAGAAGCAGAACGAGAAGGATTTCCCATACACAAGTCATTTCTGAATCTCAGAAGGCAGATATGAAAACTTCTGAGACAAAATTGGATGCAGAAGAGCCTTCAGAAAAGTGCACAGTCTTGAGTAAAGGTAAAGCTGAGTCCCTGGCAGAATCGCAAATTGATGGAGATGTTTCAGAAGCAGAATCAACCTGTTCTTCGGTATCCGGTCTTCAGACACCATTATTTATACGAATAACCAGGAGGCGGCAAATTGTAATTCCTTCTACCCCAGAGACTTCAGCTAAAAACAGGCCAAGCAAAAAAAATGTTACAAACGAAAGTAGTAATTGCCAAGATCATGATGACATTTCTGAAGCAGAGTCATGCTCTTCTGTTGTATCAGGAACAAGGACCCAAAAAAGTGTGAGAAGGTCTAGGCGCCAACAGGTCAAGGGTAATGTGTCGCCCGTGTGTGAGGTTCAAGCTGAAGAGGTTTCTGATGCTGAATCGTGGTACTCAGGTGTTTCCTTTGAAAATGCTGGCCCATTTAAACGAGTGACCAGGAGTATGGGCTTGAGATTGCAAGCAGAATCAACCTCCCAGACTGAAAGAAAAAGCAATGCGTTAGGAGAGGATACGGAAGCACCTGAGTGTATAATTACATCTGAGACAATAGTAATCTCTGATTCGGAGGAATCCACCGTGTCTGATTTAAATGCCAAAGAAGCACCTTCTCTTTCTTCAAACTGGATAAAAGAGCATCGTAGCCCCAATAAAACAAAGTGTCTTTCTGAATCTGTTGCCAGTAATGATCTGGAACAGATTTTCTCAAGCAGTACTGAGGAAGTAACAAGGGAAGATAATAAAAACATGCCTGTGCAGGAGATATTAAAGAACAATGATGATGAATTGGAGCATTCAAAACAAACAGCAGTGGATACAATTGAAATACATGATCAATCTTCAGAAAAACCCATACAGGTATCTGAAAATCAGTTGCCTTCAGATAATTCAGGAAGATCTCCACGTGATCCAAAAAAACTTGAACAATCTCATGAGTCTCCAGGAAAAGCAACAGTGAATGAAAACAAGAGGTTATCACCCCAAAATGTTAGACAGAGCTGTTTACATAAAATAGAAGAAATAATAGATAATGATGACATTTCTGAAGTAAGTAGACCCACCAACAAAATGATCACATCACAGACTGTTAATAGGGATGACTGCAGACCTTCAAGCATAGATAATGATGGACGCCTAGAAGAAGTAATTGCTGAATCCTCTTCATGTGCAACCAAAGCCAGGGGAGATAAGAAAGACCTCTTTACGTCTCTTCTTACGAGTGAAGAATCTGAAAATAATAACTTAGAAAAACTGAAAAACAGCGAAATAGCCACTGGAGACTTTGAAGGAAGTAGTGAAAGCTCCCTGGGAGAAAATCAGTCAAACAGTCAAGAGCTGTTTGTCATTGATAAAACTCCTGGCTTAGATTCTCACAAAGATTATTATTTTGAGGAAAAACAAAGTGAAGACTCATCAGAGGTAGAAGAAAGTGAAGAAGAGTTCATAGATGAGGATGAAGATGAATTAAATGCAAACAGTGGATTGTAAGTGCTTTGAAGGGACTTTATAGGCTTGGTAATGACTTGGTGGGAGTGGCTGTTTTGTCCCAAGGTATAGTGGGTACAAAATCTCTAGGTCGGGTAGGCAACCTTGGCTCTTTAATGACTCGTGGACTTCAACTCCCAGAACTCCTGAGCCAGCATGGCTCAGCTTGGAAACCTCTCCCTTTCCCCTCAGCATGGCTGGCTCAGGGATTCTGGGAGTTGAAGTGCACGAGTCATTAAAGAGCCAAGGTTGCCTACCCCTGCTCTAGGTCCTGAAGACCTGAGTTCCTACCACAAAAGGGCAAGTTGGCTGCCTAAGGTTTTAGAAGTGTTTCTCTTCTAAGAGCCATTTGCATCTGATTATGAATTTGGCAAAGAATAAGATAGTTTTATAAAACTTTTGTGAAAATTTATACTAACCCAAAGGTCATTTAATCACATTTCTAATGAGGCTTAGTTGGCTGGCCTCACATTACATGCTGAATCTAAACTGCTTACAAACCATGGGCAGGATTACAATATACTATAAACCAAATCCAAACAAATTACATTATGTTAATGTGGCATGGGACATGGTGTAATTTGTGATTTGTTTGGCTTCAGTTTGGTGGTGTATATAATATTAGTCACTGGATAGAAAATGGATAGAGTTGTTTTTTTATAAGTTTAAGTCCCATGTAAAAGGAGTTAGTGGATATGAGTACCCAGTTTTGAAATTTGTTACTGTTTAATTAAAAAGTATTTTATGTAATGTGCTCATGATAGACAAATATGTATTGATTGGGTTATATATCAATAGTTTTAGGTAATCAGTTCTTTCTCTTCTAGAGTATCATTTTCAAGCAGTATTGATCCTGGCCTAAACATTAAACAGTTTGGAGGTTTATATATTAATTTTGACTCAGGAAAGCAGAAGTCTGGATCCCATGAAGTTGCACCACTGAAAGAGAAAAAAAGAGATGAGGTAATTGCCAAAATAGCAATTAAATTGAAAACTAGAATTAAATCCTAAATGTCATTGTCTGAAGTTTTTCTTTTGGCCACAATTCAGTGCATTTATGTTTGTTTTTTTAAAATATTTAATTTATATACTTATATTTAATTTATACATTGGGGCACGTAGTGGTTCACATCAGTTACAGAGTACAGCAAAAAAAAGTAGTTTCCAGTAAATTAAAATTAAGTTATATTCTACTGCTTGTAATCCACCCAGAGTCACCTTATTGGTGAGAGGGATGGCATATAAATTTAATTAATAAATGAAATATTAAGTAATATCAATTAAAATATCATAATGCAATTAATGATGAATCCAAAGCTCTCTAGGATAATTCAGGTTTTATTCATTTCTGGAAGATGCTTAGTGATAGCACCAGTCTTGCCTCTAACTCAGGGGTCTTCAAACTTGGCCCTTTTATGACTTGTGGACTTCAACTCCCAGAATTCCTCAGCCAGCGTGCCTGGCTGAGGAATTCTGGGAGTTGAAGTCCACAAGTCATAAAAGGGCCAAGTTTGAAGACCCCTGTTGTAGAGAGCCAGTTTGGTGTAGGACCAAACTAGAAACCTGGATAATGTGAATTTTAGTCTCACTTTAGTTTGAAGACCCCTGCTCTAACCAATGGGTTTCCAACCTTTTGGTTTCCTTGGGCCACATTGACTGAAGAATTGTCTTGGGCCACATAATAAATATATATAATATAATTGATGTATATAAATAACAAACTTCCTTTATTTTTACAATCATCTGGGGGCCGCATTACTAACTGTCCAGGGCTGCATGTCGCCCCCTGGGCTGAGGGTTGGACATACCTGCTCTTAATGCTGGAAAAACAGCAACTGCAGGCCTTAGTCTCCATCACTTCCTGGAAATAAGAACCATTAACAGATGCTTAAGATGGGTCAAATCTAGCCAGAATAGGCAATGCTGAAGGTACTCAGATGCTAGGCCATAGTTAAATTCTTAGT